AAGTGACGAAGAACTGTAATATGATTAACATTTAATTTTATGGCAACGCCTCGAAGCGGTCTTTAAGGATCTGCTTCAATAATAGTGCATAATCTTTTTACCTTTAAAACTTTCGTTACCGTAGCGGAATTTTTTAAACCGATATTGACCAGTGCGTCCATTAATGGTAACTTTATAGATGTTTATGCAATAAAAATCGTATCAATGCTTTGATACTTTGCCAGCACATACTTATGTACCTATATTTTTGAGTCATATCTGCTTCAATGGGAATTTGAACACAATTCTCTGGACTCATGTGAATTAAACGTGGTCTGTTGTTTAGGTAGAAGTGTAATTAGTTTTGTGATGTGTAAAATTAAATCAAGTTATATAATAGTAAATTAATAGCAAATCAAATTATTTTGTAAATGATTCCATTGTGTTAAATTGAATTGAAAACTTTATTGCGATTTACTGAAACTATGATCACAATTGTATGGATATACATCAGTATTGATTCGTGAGAATTTGTGGTGATTGGGCTGCAGCAATAAAATTAAAGTATATATTACACATTATATAGGTTTATGAATGCAAATATATTTATTAATTATTTTAATTCCTGGCCTACACAATATGTAATGCAAAATACGGCAGAGTTTAGATAAATGTTTATGAATTTATAATAAAACAGAAATTTTTTACTTTTGTTTTAGAGAAGCTGCAACCCCATAATCTGTATACACAAATTGCCTATGGTATACATACTATATATTTGGTATTGCTTTAATCATACAAGTTTCAAAAATGGTCTTACATGAACTCACAATATTATTGTCTTAAATGTAGTTAATTATAGTAGATTGAAATTATTGGGTAATCTACAATACAATCTTAAATATGATATTCTTGATTAAATTTTAGAGCTGTTGATGTTAGAAGCCAGAAAGTTAAGGGAATCAGTGTACAGAGTAGGACTTTTGTTTATCCAAAAGAAGTTAAAATAAATTGGAAAGTTTTATTAATATTAAATTTTGAATTTTTTTTGTTTAGATTTCTAATTGAGTAAATATTAATATTCCAAATAAATAATTGACTACCTTAGGCTACCTAACCTAGACATAGCTTAAAATTTGTTAACCAAGATTTTGAATAGTCATAAAGGTTATATGATGTTGAAACAATACAGTATTGGTTTTCTAGTTTCATTGAAATACAGGTGTTTAGATTTTTTTAAGTTCTTCATGTCGGTTGGTTGATATTGGTTAAGAGGGCTAAATGTATAATATAAGATCTTTGAATGCTTCACTGCATAATTTAATGGGTGAAGTAGTTTTGAGAAAAAGGTATTAATTGGAGCTGTAGGTATATAAGATTTCTGCAGGAAATCCTAGAGGAAGTAAGATTTTATAAGTTGAGAAATTATTTCTGTGTTTTGGTACTAACGTTACTCACCTTTCCTTTCTAAAAGTAGGAGTCCAATAGTAGAGTCATTTTTTATTGACACCGATTTTTCACTAATACGACTAAATAAGCTCAAGATTGCATTGAAACATTATACTATTACTAATAAGTCAATTTAAAATAACATTCAAATTTTGATTGCATGCATACACATAATAACATTATGTATTATGAAAAAAATTATTTATTCTATATTTGTATTATAATAAGAATTATAAACATATTTTTCAGAAGAAGTATTATCAGTAACATATTTAACATATTTATTATTTTTCCCTGTGCAAAAACAACTCTTAACAAGCTTTAGATTTGCTAGTCTTGATTTTTTTTACAATTTCTTTCTCTATCGCTTATGCTGCTTTTCTAACATTCTTATGCATTCTATTTGTTACTTTTTAAATACAGTGGTGCTCGTCTATCTACATCTTCAGCAGTCAATTTTTATACTAACTCTTGTAAAAATGTTTTCCATTTTATTTGTAATGAAGTTCTCAAGTAAGATGTTCCGTCTGACGCAGAACAAAACGGAGAAAATCCTCGAAGGTTCGTTTATGATATGGACATGCCAATAAATTTACTTTCGGGATTAGCTTTTTTCGAACTCAGTTTATTTATTTTAGTTACAAGGGGCAATTGCACCCTAAACCATGAGAAAATCATTTAGTTAATCCGCGCATGTCCAGACAATAGTTTTGGAATTTTTGTTCGTTCGTACAGACAACCGACCATATCATAAACCGGGAATTTCCGAAGGGTCGACGCGAACCTCGTTCGTAACGGTTCCGCCAGCCATGAGTCAACTTGGCGGAAATGTCCAAGGCATCGGCAAATCTTCAAGGATCCCTCGCACGTGGCCATTGCCCTCACCCTTGCACCAAGAGGGCTGGCCAAGGGGCGTCGTCCAAGACGCCCCCGATTTTTGGAATTATGTGCCGATTGGGTATTTTCAATTTTCCAATCAGCGCACTCGACACAAAACCTGTAGGTGTTGTATAAAAACACCTACAGGATCGCACTCGAGTCATTCGTTCGCTCATTACAGTTAACAGTCACACATTCAGTCCATCGTTCGGGACACACAGTTAACACTGAATCACTCAATCGTTCGGAGTGACGATATTCTCAGATACTCAATCGTTCGGAGTAACGAGATATCATACATTCATTCGTTCATCTTTGGTTCAACATTCGTACATTCAAGTTCATTCAGTCCATCGTTCGGAGTAACGATATTCTCAGATACTCAATCGTTCGGAGTAACGAGATATCATTCATTCATTCAACAGTAGTCAGTCCATCATTCGGGACAACTACAACTAGTGATCTGATCTCAACCATTCGGAGACCAGAGTCGAATCAGTCGATTTCTGAAGAAATTTGTAAATCGACGCGTCGCGAGTATTAACGAGACCTAAAGTTAAAGCTGGGATTTACGACCCCAGCCGAGGAATTAAATCCGCGTTAGTATTCGTGTACGGGCGTGCAACTATCGAGGTTGCCACGCTGCGACGTCGCATTTTTCGGTACTTCGAGCCGGATCTACTACGTAACATTTGTTGGTCCTTCGAGCCGGATCTGTGACGGTACATAAGATACTTCATATGCAATAACAATAGAAAATAATTTTTTGAACAAAAGTATGTCAATTAATCGTAGATGTTTTTTCTTTTCAAAGTGTTACAAGATACTACATTATGCCCATTGTTTCTACATCTGTTGTTGTGAATTTGTGATAATGCTGTATGAAGTATTCATTATTTGTGATGTAAATAATTATTAACTGTAGAACTTACAATGAAGTATTGAGTACTGTGAGATTTTGAAAAGTTGTATTAGCACGTTAGAGCCATTTTACTAGAGCACGTCATATTTAATTGGTTGGTCTCACACATGCATAGTCGTTTTATTATGTGCATCACTGTTTTAGAGACAAATAGTCAGATCAACCTGAATTAACTTCGACACAGAATATGGAAAGTTAACTGAAAACAATCTATTGAAAAGGCATAAGTACCAAAATTAAAAGAATTTGTTTCCTTTTAAACTTTTTTTCGGGCTAACGGGTATACCGCAATATACCATATAAACGCAGCTTCTCTTTGAAAATAGTCAATAATGCTGAAACATGACATCAGTTATATGTCCCATATCGTCTTTCTTAAAAAGCAACTGTTAATCAATTGTTTTTTACTTCTATGTATTCAATGTTAGAAACTTATGAAATATTTGTATTTCTATAATATAGTCTGTTTAAAAATAAAAAGTACATATTATACAAAAATATTTTTCGTTTTTTATATCACTAATGTAATAATAAATAGGGTTGGCACTTACGTTTGTCACATTTCGTTACAAAAAATCAAATTTTATAAATAATTTCAAATTAAATAATTTGTTACTTTCTCCTGAAAAAATTGTATTTTAGACACTTACAGTGTTATTGATAGTCTTTAATTATTGTGAGTTCTGTCTGGCCGCATTTAAATTAGACGTCTTCAGTTGTATAAGTTGATAGGTAAACACACACACACACACATACGCGCGCGCGCGCGCGCGCGCGGGGTAAAGATAAATTAAAATTACAAGGTATATCGAAAATTTCGTCTTTATTTTGATTTGTTGGTACCATATCTTACTCACAAATGTTTTCTTGAGATTTACCCTTGAATTTTCTTTAAATCTTCTTTCTAATAATTTTGTATTATTTTGAATGCTTTACCTAAAATGTACTTCAAGGCATAGGAAATAACGTGAATAATTTTTGTTAATAATTATATTGAAAATGGCAAAAATACAACTTAAAAATGTCGAATATGATTCAACATGTTGTAGTAGCACCTGTGTATAAAATTGATGTTAAATTACTATCAGTACTTTTACTCCTTTTCTTTGAAATGTTGGTTGAGTCAATGTATTGGTCCTAACGATATCCGCATTGATACTAATGTATTCGGTAATCGCCTTTTAGGTCTCGCGGGCTCGCGAAAAATAACCTAGTATAACATATAATGATTATTATAACACATGCGAATATCGTTTGCAATCATACTACGTGATTTATTATTATTTATCTTTTTATATTTATTAAGAAAGTGTTACGGCGCAGTTTCAATTTTGATGAAACTTTGTAGATTTAAAGAATAGGGAAGGAATAGTAGATATATTTTCTTTTAACTATGTTACTTCAGCCTTATGGGGTGAAAATCTTCTAAGTTACAAATGAAAATATTTTCTCAAGAAATATGTATGTATTTAGGTATATATGATTACTTCATTAGTTAAATAGAAGTCTCCTAATGAAAATGAATTAAAATCGTAATATTTTAAAAATAATTGAATGTCTAACTTCATATCGCTAAAAATACTTTATCTCTGTCAGGCTTACTTTTATCCAAACATATTAAAATTCAAAATATATATTATTTTCTTTTTTCCTTACGCTACCAATTCGTTGAGCAGCTGCTGTGGTTTGAATTTTTTTTTTGAGTTTGTGGTTTCATTCATTCCTGGAGGGATTTTCCGAAGAATTGTTGTTATGTGAATTGTCATCCAAATTATTCATTTCTGGAGAGATCTTCTGAGGAACTGTTGTAATCCGAACTCCTTTCTGAGTGACTAGTTTCTGTATTGAAAGTTAAATCGTCTATAATTTCTTCTAACAAATTATCTTTCACCCAATACTTCTTCTCGATGTCTTCCGTATGCTTACAAAATTTCTCCCAATCGCTTGGTTGAATATCATTAAGCGCTTCTTGCGTGAACATTGTCAATTGATGGAGCGAAAGCGACGATGGATTTTTTTCGTGTATTTTTCTCTTCATGTGTGCCCAGGCCAATTCTATAGGATTTAGTTCGCACATGTACGGTGGCAGTCTTAGCACACTGTGCCCGTGTAATCTTAAGATTTCGTCGATCTTGTATATTTTTTCAGAAGTCTTATGTCGTTGAATGATTTCCGACAATTCATACTTCCCCATGTTCATCGAATGAGGAACATTGTTTTCCAGCAGCCAGTCGATCATTTCTTTTTTCTTAGCGTACTTGGATGGCGCTTTATTTATTTGCAGAGAGTGATAAGGAGCGTTATCCATTATTACTACCGTATTCGGACTAATATTGGGTATAAGCTTCTCCAGCACCCATCTTTGGAAATTATCGGCGTTCAACTGTCCGTGATAATCGCCGCTTGTCGAGCTGGCTTCAAAAATAAGCTCCGCTCCTTTTACGAATCCATTCTTCCCACCAGCGTGAACAATTATCAGCCGATAGGAAGAATTCGTATTTTGCAATACGCCAGGCATATCGTCGCTTTTCCAACATTTACTAAAACTCAGCGTGTTATCTACCCACGTCTCGTCGATGTACACAATATTCCGATTTTCTCTCCGATGATGGTCGATCGCTTTTAAATATTTCCCTCTCCAGACAACGATATTTGGTTGTTCGATTAACACCTTTCTAATATTGTTACTCTTTCTCCATTTGAAACCCATAGATTTTAATAGTCTGTACAAAGTATGGATTTTCCATGGGAAATAAATTTTTTCGCGGATTGCGACCAATAATTTCGGCCCACTCGGTACGACTTTCTTTTCAATGTAAAAGTCATAAATAATATTTCTGACGATACTTCGCTCCTCCTCCGTACAATGAAACTTTTTGTCAATGCTCCGTGGTCGTTTCGTTCCCGGCGATGGTAACGGCGTTCCTTTGTCGAAATCGGAACTTTCTTTTCGTATTCTCGTAATTGTCCTCTTGGATAAGTTAGTGTACTCCGCAATTCGTGCATTGGATTGATATAGCGGATGAAGAAGCTGACCTTTCCTCGCTTCTTCGTCGCATTTCGAAATAACATTTCTTACCATAGTCCGGGCTTCGCTGCGAACTGTTTGTCCTTTCTTATGAGATTCCATCGTACAGTAAGAATATAATGTAATATAAATATCAATCTCAACAATAAATTAAATTTTAACAATAAATTTTTGTACCACACTTAACATTTTTGGGACTAAACTTTAACAATACGTTTTGTATTAAATTGAAACATTACTTAACACTGATACTTAATGCTGTCTTACAATATCTTTACAAAATAATTATTTTAATTATTTGATTAAATAATTTATAAATAATTTATTAACAAAATATTCTACAATTACTTAATCACTTTAATTATTTTGTAAAGATATTGTAAGACAGCATTCAATTCCAATCTTAATTATTTTAATTATTTGATTAAATAATTTATAAATAATTTATTAATAAAATATTCTACAATTACTTAATCACTTTAATTAAGATTGGAATTGAATAGCAACTTATCAAGAATTTGAAGTTATTCCTTTCGTTTCAATTACATTTGTCGGAAGCTCTTATTATTCTGCTTTCTACTCTGACTTCGTTTTCCATAATCATTTCTCACTTTCTTATCTATTATTATACAATTAATTTCGTCAGTTAAATTATCATCAACGGACTGTACGTAGCGCAGTACATTTTCAAGACTGAAATCTATTCTGTATCACATCATTAAAGTCCTTTATAGAAAACAAAATTGTTGCTGTTATAGACATTAAAAGAAAACTGTTTTATTACTTTATACCAGTAACCATGAAATGAAATGTCATCCCAAATTATAATGTATAAGAATCTAATAATAATCAGGTACATATATAGCCAAGTTATAATTTTAAACACACTGATACGACAGTATCTGATTATTATTATATTATTGCAGGATTTTTTTATTGTTATATATGTAATTATATTACTGAAGGAAAAAATGCAACACCAATTATAACAACTCGCTGAACTCTCGCTTCAACTTGACGCAATGGTTTTCTATTCGCTGCTCTTGCAATTCACAGTCTTCTCTTTCGACTTCCAAAAATATCTGTTTCACTTTTCCTTCTCCATCGCACATTCTCACTGTTCACTTTCATATCTAAGTATGGTTGTACTAGTTGCTGTCACGCATCTTCTATTTTGTGGTTAGGAGGAAACACATGATTAATCAATCAGTGAGCACTATTCCTCTTGAAATTGCACAAATTATCGCTTTCTCTGAACCGTTTATTTTATAGCACTTCTCGATCGTCAACGTATAGGTGTCTTAGAATTATAGTTAAAGGCACGCTTGAAATTTGCTTGGAACGTCTGGTACGATATAATTATTTACACCGAGTATCATTATTCAGCTTTCTTTATCGCATTTAATTCACATTTAAGTCACGTCATTCAATATTCAATAACTCCTCACTTGGAATGCATTTATAATTAAGTGCACGTTTAAAACACAACATGCGATTTTTACCTAGCTTTTTTTACGTGTAAGTAAACATTTTTTAATTATAATCTGTATCTTCTTTATCATTTCCGCAGGGTAATACGCTTAACCTACCGTCTTCTAACCGAGTTACACCCTGACTGGACCTGATATTCAAACGCATGCTATTCTTAGTGCTTCGAAAGTTGTATGCTATTGCAGAAAGAGCTGAAAGTCGTTTAAAGTAATATACTAATATTTCGAAATAAAATTATTTCTTTCAACAACTTCTAGATTATTAATGTTCGTTTAAAGTCCATAGTATTATACATAGTATTTAGTTTTACATAGAAAGTAGAAATATACGTTGATTTTATACCTGAAACAATTATGGAGATCTTATAGTCTAAGAAAAATCATTTTTCATAAGGAATCAAAACTTTTTATTACGCTCCGACAGAATTTGGTCCGAAAAATCTTTTGTTTTCACATTCTTGATTTTAAGCTGTTTAGAGTTGCCCACGCACGAAGAGTATGAAAAACATGAAATGTGGAGAAGAGGACCCGTGGTGGCTGTCGTCCATCATGTACAGATAAAATTGGCCCTCAATGTCGCAACAACAAAATCACCATTACGCAAAGATTTTGTTACATTTATTACCCAACGTATTTAAAGTCGTCAAATACAAATAATAATACACCTGTCTCTCCATTTACGTAAATAGAGTCTGTCAGTACAAAACAAAACAAGCCAATGGAAAGAAAAGTTGGTATAAATTTTCGAAATACATATTTATTTCATATATTTTAACAAGAAAATAATAATAATGACATTTCGAAAAGCAAAAGTACATTTTATTCGGTGTCACTAAATGTAAATCGCGTGAGTTGATATCGCGTATAAACAATACCGCGTAAATAGTGTTATAATTTATCGCGTAAAAAAAGCGTCGTGTACATGGAGAAACGGGTGTGACTGTTATTATTCGTTTAATGGTAGTTTTCTATTGCATAGGAAAAGTAAGGCAGTAAATGTATACGAAAGAGAAATATAACAGAAATAAAAAAAGTAATATTTGATAAAAAGTGATATACAAAGGAAGAATAGTAGGGCATTGAGTTACGTCCTGATTTACGTCGTTTCGCAGTTACGTCGTTCCTACATAACGCGATAGTCAATTGTTTTTAAGCAATATTCCTCGCTCCGCGTGTTTAGTTTTTACTAAATTGTCTGAAAATTGCTTGAGTGAAGAGTTCGTCGTGCAATGGATTGATTTTATAACGTTTTTATATGTATATAATTTCAGGTTATATATATAATAGTGTAGGAACTTATAAAAAAACATTTACGTTGAACATAAGTGCAATTAACCGAGAACTGAGATTATTGTTTATATGGCACCACAGCGTCAGATGTCCTGATCCTCAAATTCTACTATTAAAAAAAGAAATACTATAGGTTTAGAAACTAAACTGGAAATAGTAAAAGTTTTTGATAGTAGAATGAAAGGTTTAAAGATTAGTGAAAAATATAAATTTACCAAAGACAACTGTAAGAACAATTCTTAAAGATGAAGAACGTATTTTAACGTCAATTAAAGAAGGCCATTCGGTACGTTCCATTATTGTTTGAAAATATTTTGATCCTATTCTTTATATGGAAACTTTGTTAAAACTACGATGCGACAATTAATTACGCATCAAGAAGTAAACTATAGTTTCCTGGATTTAAAATTTCGAAAGATCGAATTACGGTAATGCTTACAGGACACGCTTCCGGACACTGTAAATTAAAATCTCTTTTAATGTATAGAGCAGAAAATCTCAGAACATTTAAATCTATAATTGATAAATCTAAACTGCCTGTAATATGGAAATCTAATTGCAAAGCTCGGGTTACAACTGCTATTTTTCATAATTGGTTGTTTAATCATTTTATATCCGAAGTTGAAGAATATTGTTTTTCCCAAAACATTCCATTTAAAGTATTATTACTACTAGATAATAATCCGGCCCATTCACTAAATAATTTAAATATTATTGATTCTCATGTAAATATACTCTTTTTACCTCCAAATACGACAATTTCAATACAACTTATGGATCAAGAATTATGCTCAACAAACATTTGCACATTTAAATGTATACGTGCAAAAAAAAAATACAAAATTTGTAAATAATCTTTGGAAATCATTTAACATACTGGCTGCAGTAAAAATCATAATTGACACATGGAATGAATTGAGTCATAAATGGTTGAAAGGTGTATGCAAAAAGATCTGTGTATTTTTAAAAAAATAATAATACACTGTTGACTGATACTGCTATAACGCAAACGACTGAAACAATTGTTAATCTTGCATCTGGGCTTAACCTGGGAGTGGATGCAGAAGATGTCATCGACTCATTAGAATCACACGTTAGGGGACTCAATATTGAAGATCCCATCGAAATAAAAAATAACAATGCAGCTCCAGAGTCTGAAGGTACAACTGAAATCACGGAGAAGGTGATGTCGCTACTGAAATTACAAGAAGGACTTCAATTAATTGTAATGGGTGTAAATATTATACAGGATATTGATCCTAATTAAATTATACGATCTATCGAGTGTTATCAGCAAATTTTAAGAGAAGAGAAGAGATCTCGACAGACAACCATGATGGAATGTATGCAATGAAATTTTTATATTAGATGTATACAAGGTTACTTTTGGTGTAATTATATATGTCTATTAATTATAAATATATAAACTTTAAATGTGATCTCCTTTATTATTTTTATGCATTTAACACGTCAAACGCCACGCCGGTCCCTAGGGACCGGCGTTAGACTTCTCGTTCAGGCGCGGCCGGTCCATGCGGACGTTAGGTTCATATTACACGGCCGCGTCTGGGCCTGAACGGAACGACAAGCAAGTCGGGCTGGGCACTTAACGTGTTAGAAGAACATGTACTGCCTAATCTGATAAATGCACGTATATACATAGTTACATTTATGTTCGCATATAAACATACATGTCTACCCTGTATACCTCAACTTACGTCCTTTTCAATTTACGTCGCCCACTCCAGCATGAATCAGGACGTAAGTTCGAGGCCTTATTGTTTACAGAAAAAGAAATGCTATATTTAGATAAAAATAAATTAATTAAAATAAAAAAAATGACACGTGTTACAGAAAAATGAGAAAAGTGTAATAATTTTGAAGATATTTGAAAACTACAGTATTATTAAGCTTATTGATTTATGTCTTAACAAATTATTGAAGTATTTGTTTAGGTTTTTTTATAGTGTCTACTTATTTATTATAAGTAACAGAAATGTATATAAATGTTTTATAACTGTATTTTTTTCCTATGCATATAATTATAAACGAAACGGTATCTAATTTTCGCATTACACAAATTTTCGAACGGAGCTTGATGGTTGGCTTTAAAGTTCGTGGGTTCAATATTTTGTTCAAGATATTATATTCGTTAACAACGAATTAAGTGAGTGTATTAAGATTGTATGTTTCTTTAGCAATGTGTTCATTCTTTTTATTTATTTCTGGATGATAATTCTTTTCGATCCATACTTCGAAAAAGCTATTGAGATATTTACCATTACGGCAAAATGTCTCTCATTGAAACTTACTACTCCGCAT